AAAAAAAAAAAAAGAACTCCCCAGAGTGAACCATCAGGTCGTTCCACATGAAGCAAGGTGATGGGGTGGCTAAGGACCACACAGTGCTTAACAAGGAGAGTCTGCATTGGTTTTTCAACTCCATCATGTCATGGGAAGTAAATTTAACATGAAGAAGAAATAGACTGGTCCCTGTGAGGAACTGTATGCTTTCGTTATCCAAATAAGAAAATGACGTCATTGTAGTTTCTCTGAGAACCATTGGGAACTTCTGGATTTGTTCTCTGCTTTACAATGACTTGGCTAAATTGCTGACCTTTTATACGTAGTATTCACTTATTTATTTTTAGTGTGGCGAATGCTAATCTTTCTCTGTGTGTGTTGTTGTTTTCCCCACCAGGCTCTTAATCAAGTACTGACACTGTGGATCCAGGACAGGTGTGTCCCATGGCCTGCTCTGAACCGTCTGTTGGGTCATAGAAGACGCCCCAGGCAAACCCTCTCTCTGTCGCCTTACCTAGAAAGCAAAGAAGATGGATCCATTGACGAGCCATCTGACGGTGTACTTTTTACCTTCTGTGCCCTTTTTAACCTTAGTATTCACTCTGGCAACTGCTGAGAATGTGACTGCCAGCCCTTTAAATGGCACTGATGTGGTCTTGGGATCTGTACCCGAAATCCTTGCCACGACGGACCATATCATAGTTAAGGAAGGGAACAGTGCCTTGATTAATTGTAGTGTTTATGGCGTCCCTGACCCACAATTCAAGTGGTATAATTCCGTTGGCAAGCTGCTGCAAGAAGAGGATGAGACGGGGAGAGGAGAAGGTAAGCTTTTTCATTGTGCCAAATGTCATAACTTATAAGAGTGAACCGGAGCCAGCATCTGTGAACACCCTTTGTGCTTGATGGTGTTAGGCATATACATTTTAAAGATCTTTGTCTCTTGCTTTTCTAAAGCAGGAGAGGCAGAGATATATCCTGAAAGTCCCTCCGCAGTATTTGATGCATCCTTCACTTTCCCCCCCATCCCTCCAGTGGGCTCAAAAGACCAAGATCAAATATTGAAGTCTTTTAAACAGTCTTTTGGAATTTTGTAATATGCATACAAAACGCTAGAGGGACAAATATAAGATAAATTCTCCCAAGTGTGTGTTCCAGTAATAAAGGGGGTGGTTCAATGCACAGGCTAGCCAGTGCTTACCTTAAAGGTCAGTTGAATTCATTGACTCTGGATTTAAAGGCCACACTCCTTGGAAAAATAAGCTGGGTGGGGGGTGGGCTGGGGTGTCTCTGTGGGAGTTCTGAGCCACCAGCTCAGGATGGTTCTGTACTCCTGGGATCCTGGCAGAAGCTCCCAGGCTGCTGCTGCTCTGACCAGCAGGGAGGGAGGAGGTAATGCCAAGAAACATCATGTGGCAATGGGGGAGTGTTTGATCTTTCGTGAATGAGTTTCTGATTTTAACCAATGGCCTCCTGGCTAGAAATGATGAACCATCTTCCTGAGCTTCCCGGAGGAAAGACTCCAGTGGCAGGGAGATTTCTGTCACAAAGAGACGGTGTTCTACCACGGAGCACTGTTCTTGTTTTAGGTGTGAGGAGTAATTGAAACCTGATCAGATTGGCCTGAAGAAGGAGTTGTATTGTAGATGTTAAAGCTCACTTCCCGACTCATAACAACCCTATAGGATAGGGTAGAACTGTCCTTGTGGGTTTCAGAGATTGTAACTCCATAGGAGTAGAAAACCTCGTCTTTCTCCCTTGGAGCATCTGTTGGTTTTGAACTGCTGACCTTGTGGTTAACAGCCTAACACATAACCTCTGTGCCACCAGGACTAATCAGTCATTAGTCACCAAGCATCCAATGTGTGGTGAATGATGGAGTTGGAGATGGGGGAGTGAAAATACCATTGTTCTGAAAGAAGAAGCAGGCCATTTGATTCTCATGCCCTTTCGTTCAGTCCACAATCCTTTATCCAATAAATGATTCCCTGACGAGTTTCTGCTCAGGGGCAACCTACGTGTTTCTTCTCTTTCCTGGATTTTATCTTAATTGCTTTGAAAAAAGAATCAAGCCTAATGCCTCTTTGCCCCAGGAGCTAAATGAGCAGAGTTTTCCTACGAAGACACATGTCTGGCTCGCACTGTGCTCTTCCTGGCCAAGGCTGCTAGACAGATGTGTAATGGAGCGGGCTGGTGCCTGGGGTTTCGCCAGGGTGCTGTCCCTTGCATGGCTTTTGGCTGGACAGAGTAGTGGGCCACTTCTTCTCTTCAGTCAAAATAATATACATTATGTGCTATATGTATGTTTCTATGCTAATTTGGTAGAGTCGAACTCTTGCCCCATCAAGTACGAATGATTGGACTGTAGAGTTTTTCAGCGAGAAGCAGCGTAATCCAAAGCTCTCTTTTACTAAAATTTGCCTCAGGTCCTGCTATGATGAAGGGGCACGGTGGTAACGGAACCTTGACTACAATGGAAGAATAAGGGCATACCACCCCAGTCCACAGCTCGTTTCCACTCTTTTTTCCCTTTGAACAAATCTTTTATTTCTTTTATTTTTTATCATTTTATTAGGAGCTCATACAACTCTTATCACAATCCATACATACATCAGTTGTGTAAAGTGCAT